AGACGAAGTCTTGCTCTGTTGCCTAGGCTAGAGTGCAGTGGCACGATCTCAGCTCACTGCAACCTCTGCCTCCCAGGTTCAAATGATTCTTCTGTCTCAGCCTCCCGAGTAGTGGGATTACAGGCACCTGCCACCATGCCTGGCTAATTTTTTGGGATTTTTTTTTGTATTTTTAGTAGAGATGGAGTTTCACTATCTTGGCCAGGCTGGTCTCGAACTCCTGATCTCGTGATCCACCTGCCTTGGCCTCCCAAAGTGATAATTTTTGTACTTTTTTTTTTTTTGAGACGGAGTTTCACTCTTGTTACCCAGGCTGGAGTGCAATGGCGCGATCTCGGCTCACCGCAACCTCCGCCTCCTGGGTTCAGGCAATTCTCCTGCCTCAGCCTCCTGAGTAGCTGGGACTACAGGCACGCACCACCATGCCCAGCTAATTTTTTGTATTTTCAGTAGAGACGGGGTTTCACCATGTTGGCCAGGATGGTCTCCATCTCTTGACCTCGTGATCCACCTGCCTTGGCCTCCCAAAGTGCTGGGATTACAGGCTTGAGCCACCGTGCCCGGCCCAATTTTTGTACTTTTAATAGAGATGGGGTTTTGCCATGTTGGCCAGGCTGGTCTTGAACTCCTGACCTCAGGTGATCCACCAACCTCAGCCTCCCAAAGTGCTCACAGGTGTGAGCCACTGCGCCTGGCCCCAAATCTTTTTTCATGTAGTGATGCGCGTGTGCGCATGCAAACACACACAGACACACACACACACACACACACACACACACACCCCAAACCAAAATGTCAAGTCTATGAGGAATAGCAATGAAAAGAGCCTGTAGAAGGGAAAAGATTGGGAACCATGGCATTTTGAGTATCTACAGCTGCCTAAAGCTTTTTGGGTGTTGGGAAAACAGGCTATTGCTTAACAGTGGTAGGGAAGAGAGATATGAGTGTCATGAAATAAGAATGGGGACATCAAAGACAAAGTCATGATTAGTTTGCTGGTGCCTTACAGAACTTTCTCCCCTTTGAAACCTTAGTAACATTTTTTTCCTCTTTAAGCAGAAGCAGTTTCCAAATGTTACTTGGGTAATGGTGCCCTCTTCTGGGATAACTGATGTGACTCTGAAACCCTCTCCTACCACTTGGTTCAAAACATCTAGAAAGTAACTGACTAAAGAAACAATGAGACCAAAGGTTAAGCACCGAAAACATCATTTAAAGGTTTGAATTAGGAACTAGATACATGCATAAATATACATAAGATAAATGTGCTCAAAGATGTCTCCTTTCCAATGCTGTCAAAACCTCAAGCTGATGTAGGCACTTCTGTACCTCATTTCCATGGTGCTGTTGTGTCAGTGGATCCAATTTCCTGCGCTGTCAGCATTACTCTCCTCACTTTACTAGCACAGTTTTTTTTTTTTTTTTTTTTGAGACGGAGTTTCACTCTTGTTACCCAGGCTGGAGTGCAATGGCGTGATCTCGGCTCACCGCAACCTCCGCCTCCTGGGTTCAGGCAATTCTCCTGCCTCAGCCTCCTGAGTAGCTGGGACTACAGGCACGCGCCACCATGCCCAGCTAATTTTTTGTAGTTTTGGTAGAGACGGGGTTTCACCATGTTGACCAGGATGGTCTTGATCTCTTGACCTCGTGATCCACCCGCCTCAGCCTCCCAAAGTGCTGGGATTACAGGCTTGAGCCACCGCGCCCGGCCTACTAGCACAGTTTTAAAATTGACTTGGTTTAGGTCCCATGGCAATGGGAAGAATACCTTCTTCTTTTCTCCTATTATCTTTGCCTTTAGTTTCTTTCTGCTTTTCCTTTTCAACACTCATTATGTGCCCTCAGTGTGTCCTAAATCAGTTTTTAACTGCCCCTTAAACTATTTCCATGTCACAGCATTTAAAAATGATGGTTCATGACAAAGCTGCTGCAGATAAAGAAAAACGGTTCAATTCCTCTTGTAACATAAGATTGATGTGCAGATGCAAAAAGGTTATTTGATGGCTTTTACCTTCAACTGTCTAACTTCGGAGTAAAAATAATGTAGCCCTATAGTTCTAAAAAGATTAGAGAGAAGCAAGTCTGGAAATAGTCATCTTGTTTTTATATATTAATGGTCAGTTTAAATAAGCTAACGCTAAGGGCAAGGGAAATCTTTATAGGACCTTGTAACAAGGAGTAGCAGATGAAGCATCCAACTCTTAAAGTTTTGTAAAAGAAAGTATATCGGTGACTCTGGTAAAATGTTTGGAAAATACAGATATTCTAGTAAGATTATATCTTGAATTATTGTGCATTTTAATTATTCATGCACAGTATGCTTCCCCCAACCCCAGATCTCATTATCAGACACTATTTCTTGAGATTTACAGAGGGAGCAAATATGAAGACAGTTCTCCATTCCTGCATCCCATTCCCAAGTTTTCTAGTTGAGGCAAAATGATATCCCCAGAGAACACATGTGTAATGTGGTACACATATTTTTTTTCATCTAAGTCACTCCTTGGCCAAATTACTGACACATCAGTTTATACTTGTCCTTTCCACCTGACACAGACACAGACAGCAGCCAGAGATTTGGTTCAGCAAATTTGGGGCTTAGAAAGGCAGAGTTTGTAGTGCTGGGAGTCACAGGTCATTCTAAAACACTACTATACTTGTTAGTCACTTGAATAGGGAGATTTAAACAGTCTACTCCTTTGTTTTTCAGACCTGTTCTTAGGACCTCTGACATACAAATGAATCCCAAAGACTGCCCAGGAGCTCGACTTTTACTTCGTCTGTTATTAAACTTCAATCACAATAACATCTGTTTCTTTTATCCCAATTTTACGTGCGACATTCTTAGCCATATCTACACTGTGTTTTTATGCACATCGTCATACCCTGTTGTAGGGCTATAAAGACCTTACTGTGGTAGAATTGGGAGTGGACTGAGGGATTAGGACAAAAGGATGTAGAAAACTGCAGATCTAGAGATGCATAGCTATTCTCATAGCCTAGGAAGAGAGGTGCATTTCTCTGTCATCAACAGATGAACACTCCTTGTGTTCGTAAGTACTGAATCCATAAAGTTATATAAAAACATATAGCCCTTGCCTTCAGGCCAAGCCATAATTATGCAGAACGCTTGAAGTAATCACAGATTTAACATTTGTGGTTCCAGCTATTCAGGACCAATTCCCAAACTCCACGACATGTAACAATTTGTAATTTTGCTAAGACACAGTTTGATGCTTAGGTTGTAAGACTGGTGTGCTAGACATTATCAAGTGGTTTATGAGAGTAGCCCTGTGTCTCCATTGGGTAAAGTAGCTGGATCGAAAGGATCATGAAGAGATAAAGAAATGGCTTTGAGAAGCCAACTAGTCACGGTGATAGTAAGCAAAGGTATACAAACACTAAGGAAGAAGTTACCCTTTGTATTGTCAAAGGTTTCAGTTTTGTGTAAGGTTGTGATTCACGGGCAGCTAATCCCCATCGGTAAAATTAAATCCTTTTTTTATTCACTGCAAATAGATAAATCTGTCGAAGACACTTTGGCTCTTGTCACTAGCAGAAAATGTGAGGTTTCTTCAGGTTTTTCCTATTCCTTGTTTCATGGGCGCATCTTCCCCCAAACACTGCAAAACTCAAGTTTTCAGATTCATGTAGCAGAGAAAGCAGTGATCTCGGCTTCAGGAGCTAAATTCTCTAGTTCTGACCGTGCCACTAACAGACCGTGTGACTTCAGCCAAGTACATTCCTTTCTCCCGTTTCGTTTCCTCTAGGTCAAAGGCAGAGCCATGAGAAGGATCACAACCAGGGAGCAACTTCATGGTTAAAACCTAAGACTTCAGGGACGGACGTTTGTCTGTTCCCGGCGACACCTCGGGCCCATCTGGCCCACCCCACACAGCGCAAAGCCCCCTCCACTGACGCCAGGCCTGTGGCCTCGCGCAAACCCGTTGGTCGTTAACACCTCCCCCGAAATGGGCGGGGCGGAGGGCTTCAGCTTCCGGCGGCAAATGGCGAGGCGGCGCGTGGCGTTGCCCACTGGCCTCAGCACGGGCCTGCTCACGCACGCATCCGCCCGCCGCGCGAGAGGCCCTGTCCGCCGCCGTTGAAGGGCTTCCCAGCCCTAGCAGTGCATACTGTGAAGCCCCCAAAAGGCTCTGCGGGGCCGAGGAGACTAGTTAGGTGTGGGGGAGGGGGAAGAGAATCCGAACTATTTATGCTAATTAGCGCGTGCTTCCTTTATGGAGATTGGCCAGGATTTTACTCTAGTAACCAATCACTTAATAACAAGGGTGGGCTGGTCGAGATCTCTCGCACTCATTGGTTGAGAGGCTTGAGCGCAATGGAAGGACTTAAACTGAGAGTATCCGGGATTATTTTTCCCCGCCGTGCGGTGCGTGTCCCGGAAATGACGCACGGCCAAGGCCGGGCGGCCGCCCTGCCCTCGCTTCCTTTCACGTTGTCGCTGCCCGTAGGTGGTTGTGGTCACTGTGCCCGGAGGGAGGCGGCGGTGGCCAGTAATGCCTGGGAAACTCCTCTGGGGGGACATTATGGAGCTGGAAGCACCCTTGGAGGAGTCCGAGAGCCAGAAGAAGGAGAGGCAAAAGGTGCGCTGAGCATGGGCCGCGCCTCCTTTTGGGCTGCGCCGGCTTGGGCGGGGAGGGGAACTGTCTGTCCCTGATAATGGCCTGTCAGAACCGGGCCGGAGCATCCGAGGGCCTCCCTTCGCGCCGCCCTCGGCCCTCTGAGGTCGCTCAGGGACCGTTTCCACCTCCACACTCCTGACCTGGAGAAAGATGGCCCTGGGCTTTGGGCCACCCCCAGCATGGCCCCTCAGGCCTTCCCGTTGGCGCCTGAATCTCAGAGATGGGCTGACTCAAGCTCCCATCACCGTGGAATCTGTTCTCTCCTTTCTTAAGCAGCGACGCCTGTCATCTTGTTCTCATTGGCCCATCTTAGAAGATGATTAAGAAAAAATGATTGCCTTGAATATTTGTTGCTTCTCTGTCACCCTGTCCTCTGTGCAAGAATCCTGGGGAAAGCAATCTTAGGTTTACAAATCTCAATAATTAGTCTATAGAGGGTTAAGGAAAAGTGTCACAGTGAGCCTTGCCAGGATTTGTCAGTGCTGGAGATCGTGTGGGTTGCATTATTAATAGCCTTTACTGTCAGTATTTTCATTCAATCCGCAGGTATTTATTGAACCTAATTTGTACCATACTCTTTGCTGAGCACCAAGGAGCTTAAACTAAATAAGTAAAGAAATGGTCCCTGCCCTCAAGGAGCCTGTAGAGGAGGAGTTATAGAATCTTTCCTCCTCCCATCCCCTTGCCCTCCAAAAAAAAAAAAAAAAAGGAAAAGGAAAAAAACATCCTGAAACACTCAGAGGATCACAAAGTTCTGAAAAATGCACAGGTAAAATTTTTACTGGAGACATTTGACCTGGAAAAAAGAAATCAGCTGAAGAGGCTAAGGTGGCAGTATTCGAAGGCTGACATTCAACAAAAGAATGAGACTTACTTTGTATAGCCTTAGAAAGCAGAATCTACCCCTCTGACCTTATCACTAAGGTAAACTTGCCATTCCAGCTAATCACTTTTCTTTTATTGTGGTAAAATACACATAACGTTTATTATTTTAACCATTTTTAAATATATAGTTCTGTGATATTAAGTATATTTACATCGTTTTACAGCTGTCATCACCATCCATCTCCAGAACTTTTCATTGTCCCAGGCTGAAACTGTGCCCATTGAACACTCACTTCTCATTCTTGTCTCCTTCCACTCCCAGCAACCACCATTCTACTCTCTAAATTTGACTACTGAAGGTACCTAGAGTGTAAGCAGAAAACTGAGCAGTTATTTTAAAAAAAGGCTCCTTTTGAAATTCTTGTCTTTTGCATCCAAATCCTATCCACCTGTCAAGGTCTGGTTTATGTCTTTTCTAACAAATCCAGTGTGTAGTAGTCTTATTACTCTTTGAAATCTTGTTTCAATGGCTGTCTTTATCGTTTGATTGACATTCATTATTCACTTGTTTGGAAAATTAGTTCATTTTTTCTGTATGTATCCCACGTTATTTCCCAAAAGTTTTTGAGGAAAATGTCCAATTTTTTGTCCATCCTTATTTTTCACTATAATTCTTGTAAATTGATGACTTTCACATTGTAAATTCTCCAGAAATACTTGTTGACTGCCATGTAACTATGAAAGATAACCAGAGATTTGGAAATGGAGTGGCCAACATGGTGAAACGCTGTCTCTACTGAAAATACAAAAATTAGGCCGGGCGCGGTGGCTCAAACCTGTAATCCCAGCACTTTGGGAGGCCGAGGCGGGTGGATCACGAGGTCAAGAGATCGAGACCATCCTGGTCAACAAGGTGAAACCCCGTCTCTACTAAAAATACAAAAA